GGGGACCTTGCAGAATGAAGAGGAGAGGCCTTGAGCAGTCGGGGGAGGAGAGTGCCAAACAGAGAAGACAGCTGGGGCAGCACAAGGCCAAATGTCGTGAGGTCTTTAATGTTTGGCACGCAGATATGTTCTTCCAGCTTCACCCCTGTAATCGAGGGTCTTTTTATTATTGTAAATGCAGGCAAGTGGAAGTCCTATTTAACATCTCTTCTGAGTAGCTCCTTTGTCATGGCTGCTTAGTGGCCTGTGTCCCTCTCTGCTGTTCCTGGCCCCAAAGATCATCCCCCACATTGATGCAACCTTCCGCCGTCCCCCATGGGAAGTCGTAGACACACCCACTATAGTAAGACAGGTGCCCACTGGAGATGTCTGGCCGGGCAAGCCATACTTCTCTGGACTACCCTGTCCAGCCATGGGTGATTCAGTCTTGACCATGTTGGACCTGTACCAAGACTTGGGTCCAGAGCACTGATTTCTGTAGCCCCCACCCCACGGCCTGTCAGATGGGTTAAATTGCCTCCATGTCCCAAACCACATATACTGTCTAAGTCACTTGATGAGCTCAACCATAGTGGATGGACCAATTCACATGTAGCTATATTTGTATAGCTATTTAATAAAACATGCATTAATTTTATTTTGCCATTTTTGTTTTCTGGATTCAGTAAATGTCTTTTTTCAGGTCTCAAACATTTTCCAGGTCTTTTTAAATCTGGTAGGTCCAGGCCCCATTACTCATGGATTATGGGTAATTCAAGGGTCAACCTTTCTAAACATCCTCCTGTTCGTATCATGATATCACCCCTACCACACACCTTTACGTCTCCCCTCTACCTAAAATGCCTGGCATTCTCCATTTGATCTTTGGGAAATCTCAGGTTTTATCCCAGGGGGTACGTCCTTCTGTCCTCTGATATGTCCATTATGTCCCAAGCTAGGTCATTGGGTCTGTAGGAATCCTGGAGAAGACTTTGACCTTCGCCTGGACACTCAGTGATGCATGAGGACCCCGTGAGGCCTACACCACCCAGAGCAGGCCTGGCACTCTAGGGCAGCTCGTATTTAGAATGTCCCTACCATGTGATTGGCAGACATGCCAGATTCTTTTTCTTATTGTCCTGTGTGCATGTACACACACACACACACACACACACACACACACACACACACACACCATTCTTAGAAATAGTCAAACCTCATAAGGAAAAGGAGAAATGCTTTCTAAAACCTTCTTAATTTGCACGGCATCTCTCTGGTGATGTTTTAGAAAGTGGTGTTAGTTCTTTTCTCCCTTCTCTTGCCTCCAACAAATGTCCCTTTGGGCCTGCTGGGAATAAGAACAGGACGCACAGCCAAACCCCATGTTTTTTTGCAGGCCTCTCGTTTAGCAACACAAACACCAGAGCAAGGCTGTGCTAGGAAGGACCCGGGCCAAGGTTCTCAGCAGAGTGGGGTCCAGGAAGAAGCTCATGCTCCTCCTACCTGGACACACTTGCTTAAGCTTTTCTCCCTCCAGATGTACTGTTCTTAGAAAGAGCCTGCTGATCTCGTGCCTGCCCTGGAGGGGTGGACCTGCACTGTGCTCCGTTGTGACCATTTTGGGGTCTTCTTGCTGTCTAGATGGACCCAAACCTGGATGCTGCGACTCTCCTGGCTCTGATCACTGGAGCTAAGAAACCCCGCTTGTGCCCTTTTCCCAGGAAGGCTGCAATGAATTTGGATCTTGGCTGCATTCTTGGGGCCAGGCCTGTGCTTGGGATTGTCCCTTCCTTCCTGTTCCTCAGGCATTTTCTCCTTTCCCAGATCTCAACATGCCTCCTGAGCCAACAGGCATGAGTCAGGACAGGAGTTCGCGTGCTAGCTGGGCCATGCGTGACAAGCTGTGGGCGAGTCTTTCTAGCCATGCCAGGAACCGCCTCTCCCTTGGGCAGCCCGGTTCCCATATCTCTCACCCTCTTGGACCTCCCTCCGCAATGTGGGTGGGACAACCCTGACCTTCTCACCCTGGGTCCCAGTTGAGAAACCTGAAAATCAGATCATGCCCAAGACTGGATGGCAGGGCTGGAAGCAACACCAGGCTTTCAGGCTCCCACTCCAGGGCTCTCAATGCATGCTGGTTAGACTTATACTTCTCAAATTTTAGTTTCCTAAAGGCAAGTGGCACATTACACGTCCACAGTGTCATTGAGCGTCTTTTCTTATAAAAGAGTGCGTGGTTCCTTAAATGTTCTAGTTCATGGCTGACTCCTCACAACTTAAAAAAAAAAAAAAGAAATGAAATGAAATGTGAGAGTAAAACAGATAGGCAAATCAAAAGTGAGCCCATTCATTCAGCAAGCTGTTATCCAGTGCCTACTGTCTACCAGGCAATGTTCTAGACACCAGGCACACAGCAGAGAGCAAGATGAACTGTCACTGCCCTCGAGGTGCTCCTTTCTAGTTTCGGGAGGCGCTTATAAATAAACAGCAGGTTAGGTGGCGGTGAATAGGATGGAGCAAAATACGGAGACTGACGTGGCTGCATAGTGATGGGCTGGCTGTGTGACAGTGGGTTCGTCAGAGGTCTCTTTGAGATAATGCTGACCAGACCTGGAGTGAAGCGGGGGAGTGAACTGTGAGGACACGCAAGAAGGAGCTGACATCTTGGTTTGTACTGCTATCTGGAGCAGGGACTGGCACACTGCAGCCCGTGAGCCAAACGCAACAGAGCCATGCCCCATTGCTCAGTGTTGCCTATGGGTGCTCTCCTGATGAAACAGCAGAACTGAGTCAACGCCGAAGAGACCAGATGGGCCACAAAATCTAAAATATACACTATTTAGGTCTTTACAGAAAAAAAACCCCCAAAATTGGCCAGCCCATGATCTAGAACAGTGATTCTCAAAGTGTCTTCTGGGAACCCTTAGGATCCCGGAGGCCCTTTCAGAGGTCTTTGAGGTCATACTGTCATCGTAGTACTAAGACGTTATTTGCTTTGTCCATACTCATTTTCTCACGATGGTCCTGTGGAGTTTTCCAAAGGCTACCGATGTGTGATAATGCTACAGAGAGAGTGCAGAGGCAGGTAGGACAGTCCTCTGTCATCTATGAGGTCAGACATTAAAGGGGCTTGTTAAAAAGGTCAAGCAATGTCACTCCTTCGGCTACTTTCTTTGTTTGTTTTGGGAAATACAGTTATTTTTCAGAAAAAAAAGTGTTATTTATGTGAACGTGTAATGGGTTTATTCTTGTTATTTTAAATACATTAGCGAGGATGTGTTTTTAAATGTGCCAGTTTTCATTTCTGAAACAGTCTATTTGGGTAGACATTACCCACATCAACAGAAGTTTTGGGGGGCCCTTACTCATTACCAAGAGAGAGTATAAAGGAGTCCTGAGACTGGAAATGTTGAGAACAGCTAAATTAGAAGTAGCCAATTTTCCTCCTGAAGCTGCAGAAGTTACCAAAGAATACATCCCTTTCCTAGGCAGCAAGCCTCAGTTTCTCACCTGTAGGAGGCTGGTCAGCCCTGCATTCTGGGGTTTGTACTGCATGAGATGATGGGTGAGTGTTATTGATTGAATGGTGTTTCCCCCAAAAGGTATGTTGACGTCCTAACACCCGGTACCTCAGAACGTGACCTTATTTGAAAATACAGTCGTTGCAGATGTAATTAGTTAAGTTAACTGAGGTCCTTTATGACTGATGCCCTTACATAAAGGGGAACTTTGGACACAGACACGCCATGTGCAGATGAAGGAAGAGATGGCATGATGCTTCCACAAGCCCTGAAACACCAAAGATGGCTAGCCAACAGCCAGGAGCTGGGAGAAAGTCTGGGACAGCCCTTGGAGAGGACCAGCCCTGCCGACACCTTGATCTCAGACTTCCAGCGTCCAGAACAGTATGAATAAACCTCTGTTGTTTGGGCCACCCAGCATGGGGTGCTTTGTTACAGTGGCCCTAGGAAACTACGACAACGGGAAATAGAAAGCGTTCTGCAGATGTCAGGGGTCCCTGGAGCCACCTTCTTGCTTCAAGAGCTGGCTGGTTGAGTCACGGCCATCAAATGCCCTGTCACCTGATGCCTTCCCATTGTTTTATACTTCTATGTTTTCTTCTCTTCTTAAGTTCCCGCCTCCTCCCCTGTCCCTTCTTGCTGGTCCTACAGTTCTTGCATTCACAACACAGGGTTGTGAGACATTTTAGGAGCTAGTTTTTGACCACCAGCTTGCCCCTCGGTTCATACCACATAGGGCCTGGCTGCCTGGCTGCCTGGCTGGAGCCAGAGGGAGCCCCTCTGAGGGACCTGTACTCCGCTCACCTCACAGCCCCCTGGGGGAGGTCCTGAGGCAACTCCCCCCCCCCCTCCCGCAACGGTGCAGGTGCAGAGCGGTGAGGTCACACAGCTCAGAAGTGCAAGCCAACTCCAGAATTTGTGCTTTTCACTGCAAAGTGGGAACCGGGGTCTCAGAGCACATAACCGTTAGGATTAGATTCTATCTTCTGATAAACAGCAAACCCCAACAACAGTGGCATAGCCAAGAGGAGGGAGTGGGAAGTTCTATCGGACTCCCCTGTGCCCCGCTGCCCATCACTGTGCTAAGCTGGATTTGGAGGGAGCGGCTCCAGTGTTTTGTTTTGAATCATGAATCGAGCATCTGTTCCCACTTGCTTTCTGCTGTGAGGAAAGCCTTGACAAAAACATGGAGAAGTATTGACAGCTGTTCAGCTATGGATGTCATCCTCGAAGCTGAGGAATCCAGATTGCTCAGGAGAAAGGGCTGGGGGCGGGGGGCGGGACTCTCCAAGATGTCCTCAAACTGGAGAGGAGAGGCAGGTTGATGGGGATGAAGAGAAAAATTAAACCCACAAGCTCAGGTGAAAGAGCTGATACGGGATAGAGTTGGTTCAAGTTGCCTGTGAGCTTAAAAATGGTTAAATATTTATTTAGCTTCTTGCACATCAAAGGGCGCAATTCAGAGCAGGGAGAGGTAGGCGGGGTCTGTGAGAAGGACTAATTCGTTTAGGGAAAATCGCCAGGAGCCCTGTGGTTTAGTGAAAGTGAACTATTTTTTTCACATTCCCATCAACATGACCTGCCTTCTCCAAGCATTTCCGAGACTTTCTGCAGGGATTTTCCTGTGTGTGCTTTGGGGCGTGGTTCTAGGGGACAGGCTGCTGGTGGTCCCGCAGGATGGAAGCCACTGGCTCAGTATGAAGGACATAATTGAGCTTCTCAGCGACAGGGGACACGACATCGTAGTGGTAGTGCCAGAGGTGAATTTGCTTCTGAAAGAATCCAAATACTACACAAGGACAGTCTACCCGGTGCCGTATGACCAGGAAGAGCTGAAGGCCCGTTTCCTCTCCTTTGGAAAACAGCACTTTGCTGAGAGATGGCTCCTGAACGCTGCCCAGACCGAGTACTGGAACAACATGATTGTCGTTGACATGTTCTACATCAACTGCCAGAGCCTCCTGAAGGACGCTGCCACCCTGAGTTCCCTCAGGGAGAGCAAGTTCGATGCCCTTCTCACAGACCCGGCCTTACCCTGCGGGGTGATCCTGGCCGAGTACCTGGGCCTGCCCTCCGTGTACCTCTTCAGGGGCTTCCCGTGTTCCCTGGAGCACGCATTCAGCAGAAGCCCGAGCCCCGTGTCCTACATTCCCAGGTGCTACACCCAGTTCTCAGAACGGATGACTTTCTCCCAACGGGTGGTCAACTTCCTGGTTAGTTACTTGGAGGACTTTCTGTTTTACTGTCTGTATTCCAAGTACGAAGACCTCGCATCAAGTATCCTCAAGACAGATGTGCACTTACCCACCTTGTATCAGAAGGGCTCCATCTGGCTGTTAAGATACGACTTTGTGTTTGAGTATCCCAGGCCAGTCCTGCCCAGCATGGTCTTCATTGGAGGGAGCAGGTGTGAAAAGCAGGGCGTCCTGTCTCAGGTCGGTGGCTTTCTTTCTTTTTGATTGCCCTGTTTCCTCGTTCATTTGGCTCTTCCAGCGTACTGTCACCTGGGAGGGCTGCCTGGAGAAGGAGATGCCAGATTCGGAGGGGGCAGAGAGCAGAGGCTGGGGTTTTGATGAAGACAGGACCCCTGCTTGGCCGCAGCAGGAGCTAGCTTTAGCTAGGTAATCTGGGGACAGTCACAGAACCATGGAAGGCGCTTTAGACGTTTCCTGGCCAAAACCTACCCTTACTTGTACTGGAAACAGGTTAAGGCCTGACTGAGAGGTCACAGAGCTAAGAGGACAGCTTAGCTCAAAACCTGTTCTCCCAACTCTGTGTCATGCTTTTCCCCTGGCCCTAAACCTGGGGTCAGCAGACTGCAGCTGGGGGACCAAATCAGCCCAGAGGCCTGTGGCTACATGGCCTCGAGTTAAGAATGGTTTTTATATTTTTAAAGGGATGTTAAAAACAACAACAAGGAACAGGTGACAAGAGGTGTGTGTGGCCTGCTAGGGCTACATAGTTACTATCTAACCCTTTACAGGAAAACGTTTGTTGACCCCTGACCTGAGGCACGTACTTGTAGATACCCTCCTGACATAGGGGAGGGCCCAGAGCTACATTGGAAAATGAAAACTTGCGAGTTTGGGGGTGTTTTTTTTGAGAGAAGGGGATTCTTATTTTAATATTTACACCTTTGAAAGGCATCAGGTCACAGTCTTTCACACCAGAATTGTTGTTTTCAATGCATTTTTCCTTGGAAAGAAAGCCTCAAATAGGCCCAAAGACCCTTTCTAGCCTTTGACATAGGCAGATTGTTTTGTTAACACAGTAAACAGTAGCCACGAGCCACAGGGCCAGGGGTGATAAACATAATTGGGCCAGTTCCAGGGAGCATGGGGCATGAAATACAAATCTCTTATGCCAGGAAAATTTAACTAAGACGTTAATAAGCAAAAATGTAATACGAAACATTAGGCATAAGAAAGAAAAATATCATTGTTGGTGCATTGGTACCCACCATCCTATTTTTGCAAAAACGAGTTGTATTTAATCATATTGAAAACCACACTGTAGTGAATGTGTTTTTTTTGAGCCCCACGTAGCTTTATCTGTCCTTGACTTCTATTTGTATCTCAATTGTGGTCCCTACATGTCACCACAGAGAACATTTTGTGCTACAATAAGTAATTATCAATTTCTATTTGTAATTATTAGAAGTTAAATCACAGTGATCAAAATCAAGTTTCTTTCTTCAAATAATCAAACCATTTCAATGCTCTGGAAAAAAAATGTGCACATTGGAGTGACGGAGATATTTTGGAATCATACAGAGGTGGTGGGTGTACAACATTGTAAAGGTACTAAATGCTACTGAATTGTTCAAAATTGTTCAATTTAATTTTGTTATGTGACTTTACCTCAATAAATTCTTTTAATAAAAGAAGATACATTGTAGATCAGAAAAAAAATCTGATTTATAGCTCAAAGAACCCCACACTCCTTGGGCAAATATCATGATCAGGCGATATATAAAGTAAACAACAAACAGGGCCAATAAAAATTTGAAAACACATTTAACTTCAGAAATAATCCAAGAAATTCAAATGAATAAGCAATAAAACTCAATTTTGCATATCCAATCAGCAAGCATGTTTTGTAGGTCACTATTGGCCTGACTTAAAACACATACTCATATTTCTTTCAAAACTGTGCATAGCCTTTCGGAAACCAGAGCCTGGCAAACGTTCCTTGGGTATGTTCTGGTTCACAGCCTAGGAGAGTGTGCCCATTCTCAAGGCAGCCTGTGGGCTCCCAGTCACTGTGGGAGAGCACAGTGACATGCCTTTCCACTCATGCCCATGTCCGTGTGACTCTGTCACAATCCCCGGCCTCCTCTGCCCAAGGGGGGACTCAGCCACCTGCGAGGGCTTCCCAGTGTTTATGCCTAATTTGCCTTGGAAAAGCCCCTCTGCCACCTGGCTGGTGGTTCCCACGAGGAGGCCCTCAGAGGCTGGGCCGTGGGGCAGCCATGGATGTTTTGAGGTCACTTACCGCAGCCCTGCCCAGGGCCTCTTCCCAAGCCCTATGAACATTGTCACCTGGCCCCAAAGCAGCCACGTTCTCACAGGGGCCTTTCCCTCTGCCCATAGGGGCTCCAATCCAAGCCAGGTGCTAGAACACTCACTCCGTCTGTTGTCATTCTTGCTTCTTAGTCGAGACTCATCTGTCCCTTGGCTAACCTCTTTTCCTATCGGGAGGCTCAGCTTTCAAATGATCTCCATCTTAGAAGAGATTTTATTGGGTTGTCAGAAAAGTCATGTCATATTTTTTTCTATGTTTTTCGCTGCAAAAATGAGTCATGACTTTTCCAACAACCCAATAGCTTTGCATGGATTATTTAATTATTGGGAGGACCATTAGAGTGTTTTTCTTTTTCTTTTGAATGATTAATAGAAGATTTATTTAAACAATAATGCATAGAGTCATCATGGCCAGACTTAACACGAGATGTTAAATGTTTGATCTCATTCTCCTTCCCGGATAAGTTTTTCTTTCCTATCTCTGTCAGTTTTGAAAACGTAATAACAGGAGAAGAGAGGCCCAATTCCAACCACAGCTCCTAAGAGCGAGGTCTTGTGGGTGGGTCTGACATTGGGATAGACATTTGCTGAACTTGTGCAGGTCCAACGAGTCCAGGCAGGATCTTCGATGAGCCCTTGGCGGTTGGGGTTATTGTACCAAAGCAGGCACCCCCTTTTAAGCTGGGATCTTACAGCCAACCACTAGGCTTGCGCTTTCTGGGTTTCTGGAGATGTGTCGTACTCAGCTGGGTCGAGGGTAGGGGGCAAGGTGGCCAGGAGCAATGGCTCATACTTGGGGAACTTCATCTTGGGATCCCAGCACTCTACGATAACTTGGAACATTTTTCTTAGAACAAAGGAATTCAGAGAAAAATTCTAGTGTCTTCCACTTGCAATGCAGAGAACTGCTTAAAGTGTCGAAAGGACAGGTTTCTACTGTCCCTGTTTGGGCCACACAGACCTCGGGGACAAGTCCTGGCCAGAGCTGAGGCTCCCGGACCAGCACATCCTCTCTGCCCAGCCTGCTCTGCAGTAGGGAATGGAGGAGAGCACAGCGAGCCTCAGTGAGGGCGGAGAAAGGCCACCTTTGCCTTCCCTGAGGCTACAGGGTCCCTCCCTTGTTTCTATTACATTAGTAGAGTAAGAACTGTAAGACTTGGATGTGAACCTGGCTGTGTGGCCGCGGTAAGGCGCTTAACTGAGTGTTCACTGCTCCATCTGTGAAACGGGAACACTCAGGAGGTCGTGGCGACAGGCAGGTGAGATCAAGTTCACGGGAGAGCTTTGAACATTGTAAATGCAACACAAATGGGGCCGGACTGTGTTAGGCTGGCATACGAGGATGGAGGCCCCTCGGACAGGAGGCAGTCCAACTCCCTCTCGTAAAGGAGCAACCTGAGTGAGCTGCCTAAGGCCACAGGCTGCGCCACGAGCAGTGACCCATTCCCTGGTCACCCTCCCACCTGAGGTCACGTGTTTGCCTCACACTCTTTATAGGGATGTGGAAAGCAGCATTCTCACAAAGGGAAGACAGAAAGCTGAGTGATGATGTGACCAGCCTCCTCCTGGTCACGTGTATAGTCTTGGACTTTGCCACTTTGCCACCTGAAAATGGTGCTGATGCCTCTTTCAGGGTTGTTCGCGGATCAAATGGACAGCATGTGAAAGTGTGTCTGAGAGAGCTTTGCAGGCTGTCAGAGCGGACAAGGTTCCCACCCGTCTCTTCTGTGGACTCCAGCTCAGTAGAGGCTGAAACGTTCTCTCTGTGAGGTGATAGAAACAACATGGCTGTCTCGCACCGGGCTTTGGGGGGCATTTTCCCAGGAAACTAGATCCCAGTTTCTCAGTACTAGCTTTTCTGTTCCCAAGTTTCCCCCCTCTTGTGTTCTGGAATCACCTAGATAGTTGTTCTCAAATGAGGGTGATTTTGCCCCTCCGCGGGCCAAGTCTGGAGACATTTTTTGGTGTCACATTTTTTGGGGGTATGACACTGGGAAACCATGTATACTGTTGGTAGGACTGTAAATTGGTGCAGCCATTATGGAAAACAGCATGGAGCCTCCTCAAAAAATTAAACACAGACCTTCCATGCCATCCAGAAACCCCACTTCGGGGACCATCTTCTGTGGGCTGTCTTCTTGCTGCGAGTGCCCTCTAGTGGGCACTTTTATAGTTTCCACTATATCCTCACATCTGCTCTGCAGCTTGGCCTCAGGCCCTCACCTCTCACAGACAGGCTCGGACTAGGACACCACCAGTCCACGTTGACCCCTCTAAGTCAGTCCCTACTTCTTTGCAAGAGGGACATTTCAGGAACACAAAGCCAGCCATACCACACCAATGTCAGTGGCTGGCTGCCCCAGGACCCCCCAACCCGCTTGGCACACAAGGCCCGTGGTGAGCTACTTCCTAGTTATGGGTTGAATTGCCACCCCTCCAAAAAGATATGTTGAAGTCCTAACCCCCAGCACCTCAGAATACGACCTTCTTTGGAGGTGATCTTCACAGAAGTAATCAAGTTAACATGAAGTCGTTAGGGTGGGCCCTGGTCCAGTATGACTTGTGTCCTTACAAAAGGGGGAAATTTGGATAGAGAGACAGACATTCACAGAAACAAGACAATGTGAAGACACACACAGAGAGGAGGTGGACGTGTAAGTGGAGTGATGCATCTAAAAGCCCAGGAGGACCAAGGATTTCAGGGAACTGGAAGAGGCAGAGAAAAGTCCTCCTCTAGAGCCTTTGGAGGGAGTGTGGCTCTGCCGACACCCTTATTTGGACTCTGCCTTTCAGAGTGTGGGACAATACGAGTACATTTCTGCTGTCTTAAGTCCCCCGGTTTTGGCACTTGTTACAGCAGCCCCAGGAAGCAAACACAGCCCTCTTTGCTTTCTACCTCCTGCTTCCTGCAC